TGAAATTGTTTTCAATTGATTGAAGAATAGAAAGCTGGTGCATGAAAATGACGTACTAATCGCGTAAATGAAGAGCCATGTGAAACCGGAAAGGTGCCAAATCCATTCTCTTTCACAATATTCCAGTAATCGTAGAATTAATTCGAACGTCTGCTTCGGTGGTTGCTTCACTTCATTCTCTTCATCTCCATTCTCTTCAGACGTCTCTTGTTCCAATGGTTCATAGGAACTGGCAGTCTACAATGATTGCAAGTTTTCTATACTAAGTCAATTTATTGAAATTCAGTTTTCCAGGTGCCTGTCATTTCTAATCATCCCCAGCTCACTGTGGCTAAACAGAAGGAAAGTAGGCATCGTTGTGTAGGTAAAAAATCGCAGAAAGTGAATTCGAAAGCAATGGAATGAGTCAAAAAAGCATGTGACCTTTTCAAGACTCATTACAAACAAGAACAGTCAACAAATACGAACTTTGCTCATGATTTGAGATTAAAATTGATAACTTCATACGAATATTTTTCTGTTTGAGTGTTTGACCGAGACAGATTACTGAATTGAAACGTCGATCATAATAAATTAGAAATAGCAAGGAATCACTAAATGGAGCTCAAAAGCAAACGAACCTTCATGTAAATACCACTCCAAATGCGGTACATAATGAATGAGGCAATAAAGCTCCATATTATATTCAAATAATCACCAACGAAAAGAATCGACTTATCATCGCATAAAGCGAGAAGTTTGGTTGGTGAGAACGCGAAAAAGAGGATTGAAAGTGAGGAAATGAAACGTGGTAATTTACTAATCAGTACGTAAGGTTGAGCTTGGCTCAGCAAAATGGCCGCACCGAACACCAGAATTGCAATTCGAATGCAGCATAGAACAAAGAAGTCAGTTGTTGATGCCATGAACGAGTATTCACTGAACTGCTTCGTGAACGTCGTCCAAGATGGCTCTTCATCATGCCAACTAATCGCGAAGCATGTTATTAAGAAATCGATTAACGATACTGTTACGGCAACGCAAATTGCAGACTTTACTGACCAGCCGCTCATTGCAGATGATGCGCTTCATTCAGCTTCGACACTATCCTCTTTTGTATTTTATTGCATTTGGCTGCTCTTTCACTGATAACACCAACAAATAAACCTTACCTCGTCAGTCATCCAAATATTTTAGTGATAAGATGATAACTATAGCAATAATTTATCAACGTTTTCATGTGACATTTGTGAGTGAAGACACAATTTCAGAAGTGAAAAAAAAACACGATAACTTATTTTTAAATCAATTTCTTTTCTTGATTAATACGTTCATAATCACACTAACAACTTACATGCATAGTACATGCAATCATTGGTACTAGTGATTCTGCAAAGGTTGATGAGTACGGAAACAGGGGAATTCAGTGATGAGTCAGTGGCCTACTGGTGTGCACCACATGTTTGAGGATACGAAGGGTGTACTTTCGATTTCGCGTCTTTTCTTGAGTTTTGTGTGATTATTAGAAAATGGAAAGTAGTTCATGAATGAAAAATGAACAGAACTCAGATGGATACATTTAAAATTGAAATGCAGTTAAATCTTTGGGCTATGCATTTGTGTCTACAATAGAACATGTATGCATTTCCAGTATCGTGTTAGATGCGATGTTTGCATGCAATATTTTTGGCTGAAACTTTCTAGGGCATGCTTATTAACGAGCATGAATTATTCGCTGCCGTTAAACATAAAATCTCTGACGATCAGGTGTCACGGATTAATTCGCACAAACTGTGATTATTGGAAAACGACAACAATGTAATTATAAACCCTTGTGTGGTCTTCGGATCTGTGGGGCCCTTTTTCATTTTTTATTAGAAGAAAAATGATACAATTAATTCATTTTTCAAACTCAAATTCATTGGCCTTGGCTCACTTTCTGTAAAGAACATATATTAGAATAAATTTTCAATGATCACACACCGTACACACCCTACACATTTCTGTTACATATAAGGTCTCCGGATCCACTGGACCCAGGGCTAATAGAAGTGGGGAAATTGATGTTCTGTGTGCCTAAAAAAGTGGATAATCCTGGAAATTCCGTGAAAGTTTTCCGAAGACATTGGTGCACGGAAAATTACTCTCCCAGTTTCTGCATCCTACAGAGATTCTGCAGATTCCCTTTTGGACCTGAAAACTTCAGCAAGGATAAGAAGCCCGAAGTAGGCATGTAAATGGTTTAGTCCATTTCCTTCCACCTTTCTCCAGAAACACATCTTACTTCCAAATCAGTACAGTCAAGAACAATTTTCTGGATGAAAGCTGGAGTGAAAAGCTCGAAAGAGACTTAATGTTCTTTGTGTGAGTAACTGCCATCCGTGTTACATTCCTATCACATTGACAGCCTTACAGGGCAGTCTTTTCTTGGGCGAGAAGACCATTTTATCTCAAAATTTATTGATATCCATATTACCTCACTTGCTCTATGCCGTCTTGTACCGGTCCTGAGACTAGCTGATGACGGCCTGGTCTTGTTGCTCGTCTTCGTTTTGAAACTGGCTGACGCTCAATCTGATCATTTTTTCAGAGTCACTGTCAGACTCTGAATGTTCAGAAATGTGACCTTCAAGTTCTGAAACCTCTCCTTCTGATCCTCTCCCTTTACATCAGTGACTCTCATGTGGGGTTAAAATTACCCATTTTGGGTAATTTGGAGGTGTCAAAGGGTAATTTGGAGGGGTCGAGAAAATAGTATTTTGTTGTCATGTTATGATAGAAAGTCATCGTAATGGTGTTATTCATCTCGGATATGTAAATGAGGTTAGCTGATGGCAACATTGAAATTACATCCACTTGTCTTTGAATGCGGTTTAACAGGGTTTTCATTCTTTTCCTTGCTGTCACAATCGCTCTCATAGCTTTTGTCACCAAGAGTGTTCTCTTTTGCTAATTTCTCATTCATTTCACTCAACAATTAAAGTCAAATTCTCATTCTATCAAATACACTCTATAATTGTTCATTTGACTGTCGAACGTTGTTCAGCAAATCAACTCGATTGCTGTATTGTTGATGTTGGTTGTCAACAATCGTCAACGTGCTCAGTAAATAGTATATATTACAGAATGAGAAGTTTATTAGAACGTTGAAGTTAAATGAGTTGAAGTGAATGAGAAAAACTTATCAATGGAACGGTATTCGCATGTAATAGCCATGAGAATGAATACAGCACGTCCGAAAAGAATGAGAATTCATCAAAATCAGTTTGAAATGTATGAGTGTGTCATTGACAATAGCTTTGCATGCAATCATAATCGGTTGCAATACTGAGAAACTCAACGCTCAGAGAAGGCCCAGCGATGTCGATTACTCATGGACGTGCTAGTAAGATTGAACGTAACGGTCATCTGAACATAACATGTGCGATTTCCATATTTAAGGGGGTGGGGGTGGGGAGGGAGGATAACGGCGACCTGCCAGATCATCAAAAGGGGTAACGGAGCACCTGAACGTGAGAACCGCTGCTCTATACCATCATCAAAAACTTCTCTCCCTTCCAAAATCAATTGTGTTGTAGATATACTTTTTGCACTTGATGCACGTACAATTTGTTTCCAGTCATATCGTAATTTTAATTGATTTTCTTTATTATGTTGTTTATACTGCCATATATACTGTCTATACTGCTTATAATTAGGATGAAGTAAACATCTGTTGAGTATTTTAACATAAAAGTGTTTGACTGTGAGGCATTGAAAACTAGAAAATGCTACGGGCCCACCAGACCCACGAAGACCGGTTGTGTAACAAAAATATGAAGACCGCACAAGGCTCAAAAACAATAACGGATCATCTTCTGTCGTTATATGTGATTGACATGATTTTTGCATCATCCTCATACCCACATATAATATGTGGGTATGAGGATGATGTACAGGTGACGGGATCCGACCGACAGTCAGTCGGAAAAATCTGACAATTTCGGTCGGAATGACGAAATGCCAGTGCGGTCGGATACCGAGCGACCGAAATTTCGCTCGGACCGCATCGCTACTGCGTACTGATTAATGGAATAGGAAGGGTGAGAGTTTTGACTGCATTCAACTGAGCAATTTACTGAAAACGATCGAGAACTCTGATCTGCCAAATAAGCAATTGTTTTCCAACGACACTGCCGTGATTTAATGATTTACTGTAAGCTGACGTTTTTTGGATTTCTGAAAATGGAATGTGGTGTTAACTTAAGCCTGAAAATACTTCCGATGATATATGCTAGATCAAGCTACTGAGATCCATCTCTCTAGAGCTATAGATTTATTGTTGGAGGTTCATTCTTTTCTTATAGCTTAGAAACTGCTAACATTGAGTGACGCGAAAAATCATATGATTATTAATCAAACCCGAGGATGCAAACCGCATGAAAACGACACCTTGCGTTCGTATATTTCAGCAGTGATTGATCAACATAGAGATCAAATCTTTAGTGATAAATGTCACAATCAATCACAAAACCAACTGATATACTTTTAATCTTTAACAGGTAGATTTTTGACAATACGTTTTCTCGTCAGAAACACAGTGTAGTAAATATTTGTGTGGTTGGTCACAGATGAATAATTGAATAACCTTTATTATGTGTAATTATGAATATACACGACACTGATGAATACAATACAATTGACTGAATATGGATCTAAATGAACTGATCACAATATTAGAAGCCTATCGTTGGCGGATAACAATTTCAATACGACGAGCAAATTAGCAATATGATGCAGGTGGAACACAATATATTAGAGGGCAATCGCTGGCCGATTAACACATTAGATTGGATGATTACGGAATAAGCGTATCTTTGGTTCTGACCTCTCTGACTCTTCTGACTCCACTGATTCTGTCCATTCGACTGCCTTCTTTCATGGCCTTCGTTTCGTCTTCCATTCTCGACCATATTCGTAGATAACATCTTATGATAGCATTCTTAGCTTTCAAATGATGTCTTTGTTTCGGCTGTTAACATGCATTTTATCTGAATATGCAACAAATATGTTACATTTCCCATATGTTCATCTTTATGTCTTGATTTGAACCGTTTCATCGAAATGGTGTTTTGGAAATTCGAACAGTACAATGTTTGCAGTATCAAGATATTAAAAAATTTTTTCCCAGTATCAAGATATTAAAAATATACGATTGCCTAATAGCACTAACAAGTGTTCAATTCAGACTTATCGTATTCATACCCATCTTAATCGGTTGAAGCTGACTGAATATCTTAACGGGTTGAAGCTGAATAGTCAATCAGGCTCCGAATACTTACTGTAAGTGCACCACTAGCGTTACCCCAACCTCATTAAGCTGTGTGGTTTTAAACAAGTTACGTGTTAGTGCAATGATGTTTTCTTTACTTTTGTTCTCGTTAGGAATTGATATGAATGATATTTATTCGCACAATAATATGTGCAGCAATGTTCGAGGCAAATGGTTGCAGTATGGCGGATATACTGCCCAATGTGCTACTCGGGAGGGGAGAAAGGTTGGGGAAGAGGGGAAAGAAATCAGATTATATAAATTATCATACAGTGAGATCGATATCAGGCGATTCAGTCAAGTGATAACTGAATCAATACGATGGGAATGAACAAAACTAGTTGGCTGAAGTAACTTCTTCTTTAGATTTCTCCACCTTCCCTTGTTATATAGTTAGCGTGGTTTTAACACGGATATGAATCCGATTTCATTTGGTGCAGTAGATCAAAGTCTGCATTTAAATATTCGGAGTAACTGTGAGGAGACAGTGTTTTCGTAGAGTAGATTTTAGACTCTAACGCTTTTATTTACGAATGAAAAGTTTGTAGTGTTTAATTTGCAACGTTTGACAGTGAGTTAAAGGAATTATTTTGCGGGATTCGTCCATTGCTTGAGGAAAATTCGAAAAATTCTTTCATTGGAAGATCAAACTCATGTTGAATGATGCTGTAGGCTGTGAAAAGATCAATATAAAATCTTCGCAATTTTAAAGTTTCTAACCCTACTATTGATAGTCTCTCCTAGTATTCTGGTATGCTATTGAAAATCCCACACTGCCTTTTGAAGACGGAACATGCATGTCATTTTTAAGGACGCTAACGTTGCATTTATCATCTGCATCAGGTGCAAATGCCATTTGCACAAGTGCATTCAGTCGAGTAACGAATGCTGGTGAATCATGTGAACGATGGTACAACAGTATTAGCAAACAGATCTGCGACAAACATGTCATTTGCACATGATTCATTCAGCAGCGGAGCACCACTGGACGCGTCGCGGTTGATACAAACAAATACGAACGTACCACCGTCGTCCACAGTGGTTTTCATTTATTCACAAACAAAGTAAATAAACAGATGCTTATCGCTTCATGCGTCCAGATCGTTCAGTTTTACGCAACCGATGTGCTTTTGATGGTTTTTGAAGAGTTATGACGGTCAATGAAACTCATAAATTTCCTTTCTTACCTTTAGTTTTCCGGGAATTCTGGCATCTCGCTACTGGATTATTCAAGCTGTCACGAACAGTATTCGTTGTCTATAAGCATATCATTTTTGGTGACTGATGGAAAGGAATGTTTTAAACAGCTTTTAGGAACATTAATATTAAGCGCGCATGGCTATTAAACCGCAATCTTCTATTCGATGCAATTGAGTGATTTCATTGTTGAAAGCCACAAAAATTTCGATATCTACAACGAGAAATTGCTACAAAGCATATCAATTCATGTAATAAGGCGCTCTTTGTCGTACTCGAATTTTCTCCACGGAACAATACTCATTTCAGAAGTAAGATTTGCAAACGATTACTCGATTGATATTCAGCGAATAATCAAGCACTTGATAGAACATCAACAAAATACAAAATGGCCGATGTCAAACCGCCCAAGCCGGCACCGAAACCAGGACGTGTCGCCGTTTATCGTGCACTTTACGACTATACTGCAACTAGTGTAAGTTCGCCTATGATAAAGTAATACTCCTCGAACATGAGCTTGAGCAACACAACGTTTCTCCGTTCAATGTGCGCCTCCCTCCCTCACAATTAGTTGAATTCCGTTAAGCTGTCTCAGTTCGAAAAGGTTGGACAAGAACTTCTGCTTTGATTGTATTCCTCGAAGTCATTAACTCTATAAGGATATAAGAAAATTGTTCTCTCTTTGAAAGAAATGGAATTTCTTCTATGAGAATGAGATAATCAGCTAAATGATTAGGATAAAGAGATGTCATTCAATGAAGGCGATCTGCTGTATGTAACAGATAATGTGGCTGAAACAGACTGGTTAACGGCTCGATGTGGTGGACAAACCGGATTGATACCACGAAATCACGGTTCGTGGTCTTGTTTTCACTGATATATGTTCATGGCACGATTAATGTTCTGCTGAGAGGTTACAGCTCACGAACACTCCCTGGGAATGGACTTAAGGGAGTTAGTGGTGTGATGAAAGATGAAGCGTTTTAGATAGAGATGGAACGTTTGCATATTGTGATCGGTTTATCGTTTAGTGATGAGTGCCGAATACATAGACTATCCGTTACACGACGCAGCTAAACGAGGGAACGAACAATTCGTGAATGAATGCCTCGAGAATGCGGTTCGTTATTGCAATATTCAAATTACACGTGTTCAATGATACTTTCTATCAATTGCGTGAAGCTGATAAATATAGGCGTAGCTAAGCAGAAAGTAGCCCCCATCTGGAGATTGGAAAAAAGAGATGAAGAGGAGAGGAAGGAAAGGGAGAAGAAGAGAGAGGAGATAGGATAGAGGAGAAGAAAAATAAACGGAAAAAATTCATCCCATAATTCAGCTATTTTTGGACCGAACCATTTTGGGCCTCCCTCCTCCCCTATCTTCCTTCGGAAAATTCGTGGCCGCTCCTCTGATGGCAGCAAATATAATAATATACATTTTTGAGAAAAATACCAGTAGGCGAATTAAGCAACGAATATTTAACTAAAAATTAAAACCAGCTCAAAATTTCGGCGTTTTAACGCCATTTTAAGAGATCTGGTATCGCTGGATGTAAATAAAAACGTTCAGTGATCACATATAAATGAAGACATGATATTGATTGAAATCTGTCAAACCACAAATTCTAAATTGATTATGGAATACTGGTGTCAATACTTGTTCTTTCTGCAGGTTTCAGCCAACAGCCTTGATAAATCTGGCTCGACCGCTTTGTATTGGGCTAGTCATGCGGGTCATACGAATATAGTGAAAATGCTTGTTGCAATCCCAAATATGTGCATCTCAGCACAGGTACAATTCAACAGTCCACTTTTAAAAGGCTTAATTTTGAATCTGTAAACAACATCTATAATCCAATTAAAACTTGATGCCCATAATGCTTCCTCATAAGGCTGATCTAAACTTCACGCGCATAAGCGAATTGAATATTTTACCACCTCCACCCATCATAAAAAATGAATAATTCCCTCAAATAGTGCAACATACTTAGACTCCGTCTTCATTGTTATCAATTAATATCTACAAGAAAAGGGGAATAAATGCCTGAAAAGGTAAAATTCGTGAACCTGAGCGTTCTTCAATGATTTCAACCGTCTACTTTCAGAACAAACTGGGGGATACAGCACTGCATGCTGCTGCCTGGAAAGGGCATGCACAATGTGTGCAAGTACTTCTGGAGAATGGCGCAAGCACAAGCGTGCATAACAATGAACGGAAACGACCGATCGATGTGGCTATGGATGCTGAATGCCGGCATTTAATTTATGAGGCAATGCGTTCAAGTGGCCAACATCCACAACCGCAATATGATGATGATTACCTCTCTGCATCCGATGCGGAAGAGGAGTCGTGAAATGATACTTCAACAATATCGACTGCTACCGTTCGTACGGCAGCTTTGGAACGATGAACATTTTTGTCCCAATTATTTTATTGATCAATAATGTACCATCTTGTTTTCAGAAACGTGTTCATAGTAATTTTTGTACAACAAAAGAGTAAAAAATGAACGAGTAATTTATGTGATTGTCAACTTATCAAACAAAACCACGGAGCAAAATCGTAATTAACAGTAAAATGTACAGCACACAAGTTTAAAAGCAACAAAACGTGATAAATCAAGCAAAACAATTGTATCAAATATTCAACGTGGTTAATTGATTTACGTGAATACACATTCAATTAAAACATAAACGAAAGCCAACCAATAATAAAAAGAATTCCACCGTACAGTGTATATCGACGGAACGTATCTTGTCCAGTGATACTGTAGTGATAACATGTCGATGAAAAGATGAAGATACCACCCAGAAAGAATGAGGCTGTTAAGAGGGGGAATCGAGCGCGATTGCACGCAAGTAAGACGATTGAATGCAACATATGATAACGATTGCCGGTTTCAAACGCTCGGATACGACGTTCGTCAACACTTGCATTTTGACGTAATGCTAAAAGAGATGTATTTGTTGAAATCAATCGCTGCATATGCAATACGGCAAGTTATAATAGTTACTGCTCACACTTCTTAGCACTAACCATCAACTGCATTCACACGATAAATCCGAAACAGTCAAGCGTCAAACCAATTATAGTTCGTTTACCAAAATTGGCTGAACGAAACAAAATGAAGAAATAATCATTGCGAAGTAACCGTGAGCTCCGTATGCACCAAGCACGACAGCCAATGCACCAGATACGCCGGCGAATCGTACAATTGACGAATCGAATGCGGATGCTGACAGCTGTGGTAAGCCATTCATACAACTGCTTTGCGGCTGAGCTACTCGTGCTGATCCACTTTTGGTCGGAAACGGCATGTAACGAGACAAAAACTGTGTCACGCCCTCAATGCTGCTCAGTAATGACATTGCCAATCTGCAATAATGATTATCGCCACTTATTATTATTAATACTACTACTGTGAAGCATCCATTTACGAACGCTCCAGTTCACGACCAAAACTTTTAGCAAAAGCTTGCTTCTGTATGCAATTCCCTGTCATTCTCTCCAACAAATGAAAGGATTCATGATGGAACACGCTCTTTCGAATGATGTTGGTTTCGTCCCAGTTTGTTATCGCGGTTAATCAAACCTCCGTTGTTAACCATCTGCTCCTACAGTTCACAGCGAATAGAAAAATAAAAAGAGGATGTTTGATCGAAATCAGGACCGCCTAATCATGATTTTAGGAACAGTCCTCGCAGACGTCATCTTACAGTCTCATCACCACTGCGACTCATTTGTTTTCCTGCCTCTTCTTAACAAACAGTTTGCTGATGCTTTACACAATTAACAAAAATTTGCACTATCAAGTTTCGAATTGACTACAACAAAACAAACCACTTAACACTAAATGGTTTGCAACGAACTACGATTGTGAATCAGGATTCCATCGTGGTTAAAGTTGGGTCGGTGGCCACCGAACAGCGAGGATCCCTGAAGAGTCGGTCGGCTATTACCGACCGATTTTCAATGCCCCTCGTTTTTGAGACTCCCGACCGCGACCGAAAAGGCTGGTTTGGTCGGGAGCCTTATCAAACCGATCGATACCCAAAACTTTCCTTTCGGTGGCCCCCGACAGGGCATTCGGTTGGGGACTACCGAAAAAAAAGTGTCAGTTTCCAACACTAATCGTGGTTACATATTACACTCAGCCTTTGGCGGCAATTCAGAACTCTGACTAGGAGCTAATCGAAATTGTTTTGCTCTCAGACCTTTTAGTCGGGATCCCCCACCCCGACTTGGTTCCGCTTCATCTAACAAACATTAAGCATTTACTAGTCATGGATTATTCGATTTTAAATTGAAGAAAACGTTTCACTTTAGGCTGCACAAGCGATACAAATGAAAGTAAAGAAAACCTGTACCTATTACTAACCAAAGATTCAAACATTCCCATTCTAGGAACATAGCAAAAAGCCGGAAAAGTCAATTTTCGTGAAAACTAAGTGTTTTGTGAAAAAACTGAGTGGTTTTAATCAGCTACTAATACGTAAAAATTCAGAGTTGTACTCTATCTGCTTGTATGTAATGACTTTAAAGGACTAAACTACAGTTGTATACCACTTATAAGATATATAAACATGAGAATGAAGCAGTCACTTGTAATTCCCCACATTTATCACGACCCATCGCTCTTCAACTGACCATCTACACCACTTTCTTATACTAATCACCTGCCCAAATATAACCAAACAGCTCACTGTCAGCCACTAGAAATGATAAATATCAAACAAAAAGCATTCGGTCATTTACCTGTATTTATTCGATAATTAAGTGAATGAAGTGTTCGAAAAAGCAGACTAGAAAATAACGCAAACGAATGAAACGTAACGAAAAAGCAGACTGTAACGAATCTAACAACTGCTAACGAACCTCTTAAATAACTTTCTTCGCTGCATACAACAATGTTCGATGAAAATAAAACAACGTCGTTATTTTCTCCTTCAATTGAAGCGTTTAATAATTCAATGAGAGATTGGAACTCCTATGATTGTACGAATTATGAACATAATCAACCGAAAATCTTTGCAAAGTATTGAAGAGCCATGTTTTGCAAACAATTCTTAATTTGTTCCCAATGCTCGAACACATGAAGCAGCTGCTGGTCTTTTTATTGTTTCAAAGTATTCAATCACAAATGCCGAGAGATTTAACAAAAATTTTGTTCGAAACAATCACTTCATAAAACAACAATTCCGCGAAAGTTCACCTAACAGATAAATTGAAAAGGTGAACAATAATAACAATCGAAATTAGCATTCGACTGAAACACATAAATTTTAGCAGCCACAAATTTGTGGAAATTGTTCTATTTGTCTCTCCCAGAACAAATCGGAAAATGAAGATTTCCTTCCTCTTCCAGAATCACACTGACAGTTTTGTGAAATATCGATGAGAGTCGTTTTTGTCATGCAAGTAATCACATCACAACTGATACAACCATTCTAAGTATAACGAAGGAATGATCAATCAGTGTTCAATCGATTGACTTATCGATCTGTGATTCGTTGTCTTCTCATGGCAACATGCGTGTAATTATCGATTACAGAAATGTAATGTTAATTAGAATGTGACCCAAAAGATACAACATAATACGCTGCATAATAATATAAACGCAGAAATCACTAAGCTGATAGTATACCAAACTCTACAATATTACTCGCTTATCAACTTACGCATCATCCACATACATGAATGGATGCCATCATGATCGAAATTCATGATTTTAATTTCTGTGTCGAAAAACGCATATATATATATATATATATATTTTGCACAAATTCAAAAAAAGCACACTTACTGTACATCCAAAACGCTATAAAATAAAACAATCTCTTCGTTTATTTGATTCACATCATAAAACAAAAGTGATTCCTCGCACATCACGCATAATATTTCAAATTAATGTAGATTGCGTCAAAGATTCCTCCCACCCCGTGCATTCAATGAAAGTCGTCATTCGGCGAAAGAGCCTGCCCTCACCAATAAGATCTTTCAGTTGTGTCGTTGTTTGAGCTGCCTAAAACCTCTCAGTTACCTGTTCACCTCACTTCACTTTCTCAGTATTCATCAGATAATTCAGCAATATATCAGCCGGGAAATGATTTCGTAGCAGTCTTTTCGAAAAGCATATATATTGGTCAGTCATTAGTGATAGATGAAATCGAGTTCCAAACGTTAAGTTATTCTCGGTTCAAAGATATACAGCGTTAACCAAGCGCATTCCTATGTTGAACATAAGATCAGCTTATGAAATTATGAGGATAGGGTAATTTTTTGACGGTGCGTACGCATTTCGCCATATGCGCATGTCGGCGGAAGGAGGGCGGAGTCACGACCGCGTCGCGCGAGGAGAGAT